TTTTTTTTTTTTCAGGATTCTTTGATGAATAGAAAGATCCAAAGATGAGCATTTATCTGAAATAAAAAGCTTTTGTAACATTATACACTATTCCATTCAGTATAATTTTTATTATTTTTTTGGGAAAGAAATTATAGAAATTAATACTTTTATTTAGCAAGGATGCTTAAAATTGATCAAAAGTGATGATAAAGGCATTTATAATGTTACAAAAGATTTCTATTTCAGATAAATAGTGTTCATATCGATATCGGAATTATATCGTATCGACCGAAATTAAGGAATATATCGTGATATCAATTTTGGCCATATCGTCCAGCCCTAGGCTTCAGTAACCCAGAGCCCGCTCGGATTGGCCCACAGCTTTCTCATTGAGGGGGCGAAAACTCCACTCACATCCTTTTTGTCAGAAATGAAGGGTAAAACTCATTATAATAATAAAGGGATAGTTCACTCAAAAATGAAAAGAATGACATGAGGTTGAGAAATTAATGACAGAAATTTCACTTTTGGGTGAACTATCCCTTTAAGGTTGCATGTAATGTGACACATTGCAGGGCTGATTAAAAGGAATAGTTTACCCCATAATGAAAATGTACTCACCTTAAAGCCATCCAAGATGTAAATTGAGCTCTCATTCTGACGGCACCCATGCACTGCAGAGGATGCACTGGAGAGCAAGTGATGTAATGTTACATTTCTCCAAATCTGTTCTGATGAATAAACAAACTCATTAAAATCTTGGATGGCCTGAGAGTGATTTTCAGCAAATTTTCATTTTTGGGTCAACTGTTGCTTTAAGACAATTAGGAATCTACAAATAATCCATCGATATTGTATATTTAATTGTGCATGCTCATTTCTCATATTTTTATTTAGAATATCCTTGGTACCATCTAATGCTTACTTTAATCTTTAAAAACTAATAATTTAATGAAACATTGTTAGATATAATATTTAACAAATGGATCCATTATTCATACTGTTTATTATAATGTTGTGATGCCTATATTTATTTGTAGCATTTAAAACAATTGTTTATTTATTTATCTTATCTTTATTTCATTATTTATTTATTTAGATTAAACCTAGATTAGCATTACACTAATATTAGAAAATATTAGCATCAGTCATGAATTTGACATATCAATACATTATATAACACAATACAAGTGGAATTAGGTATACATTACTGAGAGATGGGTCTTAAATTGCAGATTTAATATGTTAGAACAAGCTAATCCTACACAAGGGAAGTTAAATAACGGACTCTTGGATGTCACATGTCATGAAGATGTTGACATGCAGAACAAATGAGATATAATCACATTTCCTCAGACTAGAAAAAAAAAAACACAGACATTCTGCCTCCTATACCGTAGGTAGCACTGCATACCCACAGTGCACTGGGCTCTCAGACACACTTCAAATCCAGAAGCCTGGCATTTGACCAGCCAATAGGAAAGTCTCTTGAGACCTCAGTGCTCTTTATTCTCTGAGAGGTCACATCGCAGTGGGTCGATGCAATATCTCTTCCATGTCTTGGAAGACAACCTGTCTCCAGCTTCCTGTGAGCAAGCTCAGTTAAATAGTGTGACTGATAGGCAGGGAGCCCCTAAATGTAACTTCTTTGACTGCTTACAATGTTACTATGTATTTTCAGTGGAAATGAAGCAATCAGCTGTAACTTTCTCCTTGATTAAAAGTGGTGTTTCTTACTAGAGCCCGACCGATATATCGTTTTGCCGATTTACCCTCAAAAAATGGAAGTGAATTGTGACAACATGCCCCGTAGGTGGAACACATTGTAACATCTGAGGTGCACGTTGTAACTTGACCATATGACAGCTTAAAATCTTATATGATCGAATGAATATATATATATTTTATTTATTTTTTATTTTATTTTTTTTTTCAAATAAAATAATGGCGTTTTTGTTAAGAATTGTCTGTGTGTGTGAAGACAGTGGCGCAAATCCGTGAATGAATGTTCCGAAGTGAAATAAACTTCAACGGAATAAAGTTCAATGGAATTGAATTGAATTAAAGTTGAATAAACCTCAACTTTACTGTTTCAGTGCACTGATGTCAGACTCATTTTGGATAGTAAAGTTTATTGTTAAATTGTTAAATGCCCTGCCTCCATT